TGTTCAGATGCTGCTTCATACTTGGCCCACCCGAAAGTTAAAACACATTTTGAGGGTCTCGGTCATGGACAATGGAAGAAGTAAATGAGAGGGTCCCGCGGGCCTGGGGCAAAGGGCACCGGGTGCCCACCTCCCAACAAATGCCCACACCTGTTCTATGGTCGAAACTCCATAAGCCATGGTGCACGGCTTCCTTATGGCACAGTGCGTGTGTGTGTGTACAAGAGGGGCACCTGACGGTTGGCTTCCTAGCCTACGGGGAGGGGGAGGTTCGGTTGTCGTTTGAAGCAACCCTCCAAAAGGCGTGTTCGTTTGGAAAAAGAGATGGCACTGGCTGGCAAATGATAAGAAACAACTTCAAACCAGTGGAAATCATCTATGCCTAGAGGCCCCAAAATTTGGGGGCAGGCCCACTTACCCGCCGCCAAGTGGCTCTTGGCATGCTGCGGACCTTGGACACCGGGACCCTGACACAATGAAGGTAACCCTGAGTATCCCGTGACCAGTGTCACAAACGGTAGCACGGATTCAAAAAAATGTGATTTTGGATGATTGACACGAATCCAAGGCAGTAAAACACAAGTACACAGATTGTGAATTGTCCCTAGTTCCAAACAACTCAGTGGGCAGAACAACACGTACAACTCACCAAAGGACAATGAGAGCGGATGGTTCAAGATAGTGGTTCAGTAAGGTTTGGATCAAAAGACAGTTCTAGAGATAGAACAAGATTTCCCGATAGAAGAGCTGCCGACACACCAGAAGGAAACCAGCAACCGCGAATGGCTAACCGGAATCGAACTTGAGCCAAATATGGCATCAAGGCAAACCCTACTACATGCCCCTGGTAAAAAAGGAGAAAAAGAAAAAACAAACTGTTTAAGGTAGACCATTTTAGGTGCACCCACCAAACAACAGAAGTGCTAAGGGTATCACTGAACAACTGGGGGAATTGTGTCTAAGTTCACTGACGTGAAAATCCGCATGCCTCCGTGGAAAAAATATCCCCTCTGGTTTCTTCTTGCTCACCTTCATTTGCCCTGTTGTTGTCAAGACCCCAAGAGTTGGAGTTGCCACTACTGCATGCGCGGCGGAGGCAAAAATGCTCAAAGCTGTGCAAGCGGTGTGTCACATGTGCCCTTGCATAGGATGCAAGCAGTGTTTCCTTCACAAAACACTGCGGGTTCCACCACAGGTCCATGGCGGCCTGCGCTCCAGAATTGTTGGAACCACCCGCAAAGAGACCAACCAACTTCGCTTGGGGCCCCGTTGGAGACGATGAACTTCGCCCAGTTCACAGCCAAGTGGCGAGTTTTCTAGGGGTGACTTCCAACCATTCTTTTCAGGCATCCTTCTTTCCAGAAAGCCATACCACCCAGGGGGAACCGCTGGATTTGGAAAAGAACGATGGTTGAAAAGAAGGGGGGAACCCCATTAGTGCTTGGAATGCAAAGGGTGGGTCACACCTCCGGCTTGGAGGAGTTTCGTCCAAGCTATAATCAAGCACAACCAAAGCGAGCCCATTGTCTACATGTTGCCAAGAAGGGATATTGCAGGAAGCCTGTAATTCTTTGCAATTCATTAGAATTTCGCAGTTGGATGTTCACTTGCAACATTCAGGAAACAGCCTCTAATTCCCAAAAGTGGAAATAAGCAACCTCCTGTTAAGGGCCGCTTTTGGGTTTTCGCTTGTTTTGTTCGAACTTGCACGGTTGTATCCCTCCCCCCTTTCCCCTCCCTGACTCCGATTCGATTTTGCCTGGTCATCGGTGATGTTTGGGCCCAGATCCTCGGGAAATGCAAAGGGCGCCCCGCCTTGAGGACATGCCTAGACTTTCCTTGAGGAACACGAGTTTCTGTTGCAGGGTGCATTCTTTGAAGGTACATACCTGCATGCTTTGTGGTGCTAAAGCACCTACTCCACCATTTGGATGGGGTCCCCCATTTTGAGACATATCTGTATGACTGAATCACCCCCCGTCCAACCATGTACACGTGTGCGTGTGTGTGTTGGATAGTCTTTTCCTAATCTTGCTTGTTCCTAGGGGATGCGGCGCCGGCTTCTGGAAACAAAACCTGCCCTTGATTGATGCCGCCAGGAAAAAAGGACAACTGGTCATTGTTGAGGGTTGCATGAGTCCAACCAAAAAGGCATCCGATACAGGGATTGCTTAGTGGGGTTCTGCTCAACCCTGTTCCCTTCTGGCAACAAGCAAGATGAGGTTTGATGATCCGAACCAAGCAACCACCCGCGGGTCTCTCGAACGTCCTCGAGGGTACAACCTTGTAACACTTGCTGCAGCTGGCCTGGTTAGATCCGCCGGCATGTAGCTATCCTTCCGGCTGTTTCTTGTTTTCAGCCAGTTTCGAACATGGCCAAAGCACTGAAGCATACCCCACAATGTTGGGGTATGTTCCAGATATTGGAGGATGAGCAAATGCTTCCCCTTTACACAAGGATCATCGGATGTCCATGTCCAAAAGGGAATTGAAGAAACCGGGTCGAAGGGAAACCACTGGAAGGAGGTTGCTGAAATAATGCTGAGCTGTAAGGCGTCGGCCGAACAAACAAAGCCCATAAATCGCCTCGCCATGTTTCCGTCAAACCACTTGCGGGAAGCATGGAGGGTTGCCATGAGATCAAATGTTGCCCTGTGCTTGTCCATAAAAAGGCCTTTGTTGTGTTGAATCTTTCAACCAGCAATAACTCAAGGCGCTTTTATAAAAACCAAAACATGTGTTCAAAAGCCCGGTGCTCGCCTCGAACTCCCGAACCCTCCCACCTTGTAGGAGATGCCCAGCGTGTAGTAGTTCTGCTTGGCGCACTGCATGGTGACCTTTGGCGAAGGTGCGAGGACTTACTCCTACTGGCTGGTTTCCCAGCGGAGTTCCTCAAAAGGGAACCTCAAGGTCCAAGCTTTCTTTAGGGGGTGCGGCTCCCCCCCGTATGTCCTACCTTGCAGGGTCCACACTCAACAAATAAGGCCCTGACTTTTTCCAATGAATGTTTGCTATTTGACATCCTCACATTTGGCTCTACCTCAAGGAATGCCAAGACCCGGAGCACCCCCCCCCCCCATTTTTTTGGAGCCTTCCGTTTTCGGCCGCTTTGTATCCCCTTTCTTCGGACCCCTATGTGAAAACCTTTGAAGTTGCCACACCAGCCCAGGTTCCGAAAATTTCAAAAGGGCTCTACTGAAATGCGGACTTTCATGTCCGCCGCTTGAGTTTGACTTGAAAACCATCCTAAAGGGGGGGCTAACCATTTTATCGCCAGCCGACCTCAACTTTTTCACAACCGTGGTATGAGCCTCAAAGGGTTCTGCCCCAAGTCGCCTGGTCATAGTTCGCTGGCACAGTCTGCGGCATCGCCAATGCCTGGGCGCTACCGGCTCACGGTGAGACGTCGGTTCCAAAAGTCCCTCTCACTTCCACGTTTGCGACTAAAATGGTCTTTCCTCGACATATTTCAAGTCCAGGAACTCAGGGAGTGTGCTGCGTCTTAGCAAATCCCAGCACCTTTTGCCCAAACCTTGGCCTGGTGTCTCGTGCCCTTCCTGGGAATAATCATAGAAATCAGCCACAGGAATGTCTACAGGAAATTGGCCAAACACCATGCAATATTGGCAGACCTCGCACAGTTTGAAAAGGAGACCTACCATTCCAAAGGCCGTACGCGCGCGCGCACACACACAAACACAAAAAAGCACAACACAAGCACAAACACAAACACTTGTCCGACAAGGTAGATAAAAACTCAATCGGGGCCTGGATTCAGAAACCGCTGTTTGATTCTTGAGGCGTCCGATTTTAAAGGGAATTCTTCGTCTTTGAAGGAATCCCCCCATAAATCTGAATTTGATTTATCTTGGATCGACATTGAAGGGCCACGGATCTATCGGCACAAATGGCTATAACTCCCAAACCGGACATAAGGATTTCATACGTAAGAAACTTCCTGTTGATTTTCCTTTAACACCATCTAGGAGGGTTTGTTTCGCTTTAAAACCATCCAACATGGCTGGTTTCTCGTAAAAACCATCCAAGAGGGAATCCCAAGTTGAAGGACACGCCCATTCGCCACTGGCCTTGATCTTCTCATAGCTGCCCTTGATGAAAACCTCCAGATGCCTGGTGCGGTTGTCCCGCACCACCGCCCCACTGGTCATGCCTCAGATTCGGAGCGTCCGACACCGTCCGACACCACCCTATCTAGCCGTTACACAAAGAGTCTGCATGTTTGTATTACGTGAATGCATATATGTATATATATATATATGTGATTTGACATATATGTATATATAATATTACAGCATGTGCTTTTTGCTTATGTATACTCACGTGTCCAAAGGACCTGAACATCAAAGGCTAAACTTCGGGACCTCAACTCGAATTGGCCCGGCCTTAAACCCTGCGAGCAAGCAAACCAGCCACTCGGCTAAGCAACGCCCACCAACCAACCAAACCCACCAACGAAAAAAAAAAAAAAAGACAAGCAACCAACCACCTGCTCCGACTCGAAGCAAAAAGCAACTTCTTTCCCAGCACAACAACAAGCAAGCAAGCGAGCAAGCGAAGCCAGCAAGCCAGCAAGCCAGCCAGCACGCAAACAACAGGACAACAAAAAGCAAATCAATGCAAAACAAAGAAAACAACAAACCTATGAAATGCAGCACTCTCCAAAAGGAGAAGAGCACATCCACCCCTACCAAAACTAGGCGTGCGAGAATTAGCCAACTTTGAGGTAAGGGTTCTTTAAGAAAGGAACATTCATGGGAAAGATCGCAAACCAACAACCTTTGTCAGGGTGCTGTAAAATGCAAACTGAACAAAACACAAAGGCTGGAAGTACCAATCCATATATGACCCTGTGTATGCTCCAATGGCCTGAGTTCATATGTGGCTCCATACAATCAGCCTTGAATACATGCACGGAGAGGTACTGTGGTGGTCGAACTCCAGCTCTCGCACGATGCTCAGCACCTCCCCATCCGGCGAAGTCATCTCCTGCGAGTTGGGGATTCCTTATCTTTTTTGACACACAAGGCATGGCATAGTCTCTTTGGCTTACATGGCCTTGCCAGTTTCTGGCTGACCTTGCCTCTGCCAAACTTAACTGCTTCACATACGTTACAACTCACACATAATACGATGTGGTCAACACTCCTTGTGTGTGCCATGGTTGTGGTTCCCTTGCAAGGAAGCCTGACCTTGCTTGTCTAAATTCCCCAACATGGGGTTGATGACCGCGGAGCTTTGAGGGCGGCACATATATGAAAGCTTTCCATGAAAATGACCGCCTCGAAAAGGTGCTCTAATTTGCAGGAAGCGGAAAGAGGGTAGAGTGGTCCAGCCGAGTCCCCCACCGCCTTGGGGGCTTAAGGCTACTCCCAAGGTAGGCTTGATGAAGGGTGGGTTAAGGCGAGCTTCTGGATGAATTCGGGTTGGTTAAGCAATGGGTGGGTGTGCAAAGGGCAGTTCAGGGTCGATTTAGGCTGGGATCGGGGTCGGTTACGGTGGGAGTAGCGTTTGTTTGGGGTTGCATTAGGGTTGACTTAGGGGGAGGGTTTTGGCATTGGCTCAGAGCGTGTTTAGGATTTGATTGGAAGGAAGGGCTTGCTGCACACTTGGCCAAGTGAATCCTCAAAACCTGGTATGGAATTGGTCTACCCAAGTCCTGCAAAAGAACAAAAAGGGCGGCCGCGCCTATTTCTGGCTGGGATTGTCCCTCACTACCCTTCGTCTACCCGGGTTTGATTCGGGCTCCACGCCCAGCCCCTCCTTGTTACCCAGCTTCCAGCCGACGGTGCGCACCATCGCGCACTCCACCTGCCCAGCTGAACTCGGAACCCGGAGCCCTTCGGCCTTCGAGTGCCTTTGAAGCGTTTGCAGTTGGGTGATAGCTTTGTGGGGAAGCAGGTAGAAGGCGGCACCGCAGAGAAATCAAAAACCCCTCAACATAAACGAGCTCTGATGTTTGAAGGCCCCACACGATAATCCCTAGCCGAGGAGTGAACCTCAAAGGAGTTTGGATGAGTGTGCTTGCTCACACGTGTCTGGCTCTTGCCTGGAAAGCAGCGGTTTTCTTGCGGGGTGGTGGCCTCTCTTCCCACCCTTTTCGTACCAAGCTTTGGGTCCTTTTGGGCTATTTCATTTAGACATGGAGCAGGCAGGTCTGGAAGTTGCAAGCAAAGGTTCCGCTGTCCAATTGATAAGTCCCTCACTTGCTACAGAATCTGATCCAAATAGCAGGTTTATCATATGGCCGCTCTGTGGAATTCAGAACACCCTAAAAACTCGCCAAATCTGTGTTGGAATTCCCTGAAAAGAGGCCTCAACTGGATCCAGTTAAACGGTTTAGCCCTACTGGACTCTAGCCGTCCACATTTGGATTGGGGGGTGCCCCCTGCCGACATCCATAGGCTTTGGGCGTGGTCTTTTGGGGGAACACAATCTTGGAATCTTGTTAAAGGGAAACTAATGGGAACACATTTTGCGGAGTTGAAGCAAACCTTTTGAGCTCAGATGCCCAAAGGCCAAGGGGAAAAAACGGCATCTTTTTTTTGGTTGGTTGAGTTTAAAGGGGGACCCCTTCCGCAAAAAAAGGCAAAAGGGCGCCACTGGTTGCAACAGAGTGATGTTCTCTCTCCTAGGGTCCATTTTTGGAGTACCACAAGGCCCTCCTTTCGGCCAGCTTGCGCCTGGTTCCCGACCAGCTCCCCAGTGCTGGCCAGCTGCTTCACCGTGTGGCAGGTGGCCAGGGCCTACCCCAGAAACCCATCAGTCAGCTTCGAATTGGTTTGCCGGGTGGTTTGGAGTTGGGGAATTTCCACTTACCACAAGAACCGGGGAGTCTCAAATCCCCATGCCACCAATCCAAACCACCAATGCAAAGGCCTTCAAGCCAAACATGTTGCTTGCGACCGCTCCAAGCAGAGACGAACAGCCGCAACTGGCAGTGTCAGCCGAAAAAGTGTCGGCCAGACGCCCAACAAAGCGGACTATGTCCGGGGTCCAACCCGGGCTTGCCTTTGAGCCTTTTGAAAAAAGGAGCCCGAAGTGTAGAAACCCTCTTGAAGGGGGGGGGTGATAGCCATGGATCTCTCAACATGAACACATGCCAACAATTTCGCAGGGCCCAATTCCTCTTTACATTTTAACCGGGGGAGCTTTGGGGGGGCGGAAGCTATCTCCTTCCTGAATTTACGTGTTGGTACCGTTGAACAATTCATATTCACAAGTCAAAGCCATGTCCATTTAAACCCCTCTTACCCTGGCTTGAATTGAAGACACAAACACCCGGGTGCCACCAGGCGACTATGATATTGACGTGCGGGACGCAAGATCTTCAAGTTTCCGGGGCTCTTCAGACTGACTCTTGAGACTCCAAATCTATCTTACCAAAAAACAAAATCATGTTGCTTCAAGTTCGGCGCCATGTTTAGCATAGCCTACGATTTAAGTCCTCGGAGACTCGGATGTTCTCGACACCAAACTCTTGGGCCCCGGCGCGGCGCAGCCCTGGCGGCACTCTTGACCTTCACAAAGCCGGGTTCTCAGCCAAGAGCTGGGATGCAGGGGGAACCCACGAATGGAAAACGGAATAGCAAAACCTCCCCTACCAGTAGAGCTAAGAAACTTCTTGGGAGCTTCCTAGAGCAGTTCGGAGAACCTGGAGTGGTTAGAGGCCTCCAATATTTCTCCTGAGGGTCTAGGTCCACTCTGCCGATGGAATTGCTCACCCCTGCGCCATGGACACTTAAAGACACAATGCGGCGTCAACTCCTCGAAAGCTACCCAAGAGGGGATTGCACAAGGCGTCGAGTGTTAACGATATGCGCCACTCCTCCCTCGTACGGTAGACACCTAGGGTTTATTCTGCCACCACACGTAGGGTATGCTTTTCAGTCACTGGTGGCACCTGGTGGGAAAAAGGGGCCGGGGTGGGGCCGCTTCCGCCTCGCCACTGGGGCCTTTAAACACTTCCCACTGGGCCCCCGCACGTGTCCTTAATGAGCTCCCTGTTCGCCGCACACTCCGGTTCATTGGCGTCAAAGTGCACCTGACGCCGCGACGCCGCGGCGAGGTCGTGCCACTCGTCCAATCGAATGATGCTGTTGTGGCTGGAGTTGTGGTTGCCTTTCTCGGGCACAAAGTGAAAGCTGTGCAACCCGAAAAGCCTGTCAAAACAAGTGGGCCCGCTTTTTAGGGGGAGTGTAACCAGGCCACCTCAAACCAATCGTTTCCAATCTGACACCAATCATTCGGAGGTTCAAGTGGCTTTGACACATGCAAGCATGTTGGAATGCTGTAGTCTGGTGGAACCTCAACAAAGACAAGCCATCGCTTCGAAAGGTCTGGGACATGGGGTTTGCCAGAGAGTACCCACTGTGGAGCGGAAGACACTCAGTGGCTCTTTCTCAACAGAAATGCCCATGTCCGTTGAAACCAGCGGAGACAAACATGAACCAATAGCTTGAAGATCTGGAAGCATTTACAGGCCCCAAGCCATCCTGCTCCCAGTCGCAAGACTGTTGCTATCGAAGGAACCTGGCCTCATCCACCCAATCTTGGGCAAAAAAAGAAGCGGGGACTGGGTCGGAGCACGGATGATTGGGAGCAGATTCCTGTCGCAGCTGATAAGACTGCCTCCCTCTCTCAAGAATTTCGAGCCCAACCCGCGCAGCCCTGAACCAAAAATCTAGAGAAACCAAAACAGGGCCACCTGGTCGACGGGAAATCAGCCGAGCTCCCTGGCCCCGCCTCCGAGAAGAAGCGGGCGTTCTCCACGCCGTAGACCCCGGCAAAGTCCATGCCCCCCTGCGCCAAAAACCGGCGGCTTGGGCGGGCGGTTTCGGGCAGATGGTCGGCGGTTGGGGGGTTGGGTGGGGGGGGGGGGGGTGGGGGGTGGGAGTGGGTTGAGTCAACCCAGGGTCGACTTTTGGATTGCCCCAACAAGGAATCCCCGAGCAAGGAACCTCCATCACTAATGAGCGTGGTTGCAAGCCAAATTGCTTGGAAGAGCGCCACCATTTGTCTAGATGGGTTGGACAACTCCCCATGCTGCCATCCCCGGCTGGCTATGAATTGTAAATGCACATGGACATCTATCTGGTACCAACCATTTCGGAGGATGTTCCCACACTTCCATACATTCACAGGGGGGTGGGTAGAACAGGCAGCGGACCATGGACCAAGGAAAATCAGATCAAGGCCCTTCCCGAGCGAGTGGTTCGGTCCAGGAGTCCGGACTCCTCTGAAACCGAATCGCCGCGATTGATCCTCTCTCCAGGGGGCAAGATTGGCTTGAGCTAGAAGACCCGAGTTGCTTTGTTGGGGAGTCCGAACGGATATAGTTCAAACAATGGCGCAAGCATCTTCAATCAAGACTTGGCCCAACTCTGTACACTGAAACTATGTTCAGATGAGATCAGATATAGTCAGCATCTTCGAATGCGCACCTCGTTGCGCACCAGTGTGAAAGGACTTCTGGTGTCTCCCTCAGAATATGTTGTATATGTTAGGTTGCTAAGGGAACCCACAACCCGGTGTGTTCGCAGGTGTTTATCGGAAACGTGTTTTGGGGCGGGAAACCCATGGGTGAGCTCGGCTATCTCCATGTGAGCTTGCCATAACATGTGCGGTTGCTACTGTTCCAGTGCTTCCAGTTACAACTCTAGTAGGCAAAAGTTGGTATGCTTACCTCTAGGGTTGCCCAACATAACTGAATACCTACTATGATGGTACAAGTGACTGAAGTCACTGAGTATGGGTAGCGTCGTTGTCCCCCCAGCTGAGCTCGCCATAGGCAAATAAGGAAACTGGGCAAAATAACCACAAGGGAAACTGGACCCGGGGTAACATTCCTCAGGGGGTCACCTAAACCTGGACCTCGCACAACACCCAGGGCCTTGGTGATGGTCCCTGTCTTGTCGAAGACCATCGTCGAAATCTTCCCGGCGATCGGAATCCTCACGGATTGGTAGCCGAAGCGTCCCGTGGGAAACGGGCGATGCCCGAAAGTATGGAACCAAAGTGGGCTCCTTCGGGTTTCCATGTAAAAGCCGTATCAAGGAAGCGCCAGTTTTAGGGAACCCTCGTTTTGGCGGAATCGCCGGGTGTTCAAAATGAGGGACCTGCGCCCACTCACACTACTCGTGGATCCTCAGTTGTGGTTGAAGAACTGTGTCTGTTCAAGCCAGATGACAGAACGACTGCGGCAACTCTTTGCGTTGTCTTCGGGAACGCGCCAAAAGCAAAGACGCCCACGACGTGGATGCAAAGTCTGCGCAGATTCCAGCAAACCAAAATCCAAGTAGAAGCGATTGGAGTCCAGGACAATGCGCAACGCAAGGACATGGTTGCTTGCCAGCAAAGCAGTGGTCAGCAGGGAGTCCAGACAATCCGCGGAGACGCGACATGACGAAAGCAGCGTGTAAGGCGGCGGTGCGCCGAACAGGCGCAGGAGCAAAATGTTCACTACCGAAGTCATGGCGGGTGGGGTCAATGCTCGCATGAGCCAGAGCTGACGAACGTTATAACCGTTATAACCCCAACCCCTCAGAGCACGGCCTGTTTTACGCGGCCGGCGTAAAAAAAGAAAGAAAAAAGGAGCAAGCCCCGCCGCTACCAAAAACAAGGCACGGTGTTCAAATATGTGTAGTGTGCAATTAGTTTGCAAGCGAAAATGCTGTGCAGGCAAAAAGCCCAGGAACTCACCTAGGCGCAACGTCACAGCGACTTCACAAAATCAAAACCACTCCTAGCGCGCATGCCTGCAAAGCGCAAGCTGTACTCCAACATCTGCAGGAATCAAGACATGTAGCCAGCAGCAAAGCACATGCTGAAAGCTACAAGCGGAGGGTTTAGGCCACATCCGCCGAGTTTCCCACGTCTTCTTCGTGTCAGATCCTTCTCTTCGTTGCAGACAGCACTTTCGTTTGTAGAAATCGCTTTGCGATTCCTGCGTCTTCTTCGATTCAAATAAGTACTTGCTCTTCGCTCTTCAAGTCCTTGCTTTGTTGAAGGTTTTGGCTTCTCGGCTTCTCGGCTTCTCGGCTTGTCGCCGCTTCTCTGCTTCTCGGCTTCTCTGCTTCTCTGCTTCTCGGCTTCTCTGCTTCTCGGCTTCTCGGCTTCCCTCTGTTCGTGTGGGCCCCGTTTGCCCCTGCTTTGGGAAATCCGATTCACCATCTACTTCCACACGACGGTAACCCGCTAATTCATGACAAATCCCGCCAGTGTCCAAAAGATCCACCGAAGACCAGCCAATCAAGACATCCACTGTGCCTGAACTCAGGCACACAAGAGGTCTACTAGTTCAAACCAAAGTTCCAGCCCGTTCTGAACTAGGCATTCTGTTGTTTGAGTCATGTTTTCCCACCAGGGATCAGCAACATGGTGCGCTTTTATTCTACCCCTGAAATCCAACAGACTCGGGTGCTGCTGTCCCGTGCCCAATTTCTCGCCGGTCAGCGGGAAAATGCACGGTTTCCCCCAAAGTGAAAGGTCACAGGCTTTTTCCTGGGAGCGTTCAAGAAGAAACAAAAACAACAACACACATACCCAAAACAAAACAGCACAACCCCACCCCTTCCTCCGCCCCAAGGGGTGTGGGCACGTCCTGCCGGGCTGGAGGCACTTGATCTTGTACTTGCCCTTGGGGTCGTCCAGGCGCCCCGCAGACACGGACTGGCCCATGACCATGGACACGGGCAGCATGGGGTTCCTCAGCTTCTGAGTTTGCCGGCCGAAATCGGTTTCCTTTCAAAGGAAAACCCCGAAATGGATGGATTGCTTTGGCTTCCCTTCAAAACAACCTCCGAAAGCCTGGCCTGCTGACATAGGGTCAAGGAAATAAATTCCTATAGGACTGCTTTCTTTTGCCCGCAAAGAAGGTGGATTTAAACACATTGTTCCGGGGTAAGATTCTGCAAGTCGGGCAAAGGAAGCAAACCATCTATACCGAAGGTGTATGCCTCCTCCATGCGGACTTGGCAGACTCAAAATAGATTACATTCACCAAGGTGCCATTTCGGTACATGTTTTTGAGCCAATGCCTGATTTCAAGGACCTTTTAGAGTCTGGCAATTCTCAGACCTCCAGCGGACATGGGGGAGAAAAGGGCCTTGAGGCACCACAGCTGGTTCCGGGCTCGCCATCAATGACCTTCCCACGGCGAAGCCCTGGCGACAGCTCTGAAGCCTTTGACTAGAAACATGCCCTGGAACTAAACTTCAACAACTCTCCCGCCCCTCTTCAAAAACAAGACAACACAAACAAAAACAAAGGAACAACAAAAGACGCGATGTCTAGCATTTTCTTTGGGTCCCTCTTCTGGTCTTGGGGCTTCCTTCGGGTTTCGCTTTGCACACCGCGTGCGGAACCAAGGGGCAGAGCCATGGCCACAGTGCACAGGACCTCGGACGAACATCGCCACGTGAGCTACCCTCTTTCCACCGGAACGAATCGCTCACGGTACACAGAAAAGAAAGCGTGTTCGACTTCTGCTTCATATATGTCGTCTACCCCTAGAATATAACATAGTTTTGGAGGCATCGGATACCGGGTTGTAAAAGACTGCCATGTCCGCTTCCATGATGGAAAAATGTAGAAAACTCCATTGCCTAAGTATCTAGAAGTTGTCAAGAGTGATTGGTTTAGTTCAACCGAATTTCTGCTGCTCAGCAGCTGGCCGAGGTCAAATTCCTTCCCCAGAAAAGAGAACTCCCAGGAAAGCGACACATACTTCCCCAGGGATCAGCAAAAAGTGCCATGGACCCATCCCCAGTCCCATCGCCGTGGGCTGTTGCCGGACCCCAAAAAGATGGTTCTAAGACGCCAGCAGGCACTTCTACTGGAAATCCGTTATCGGATTCCTTGGACCCCGGCCGTGAGGAAGGTGGCCACCGCGGAGCCGATGTCCGTGCAGAAGACCAGCACCAGGACAATGACAGCCACCTCAGGAAGGTTCCTTTATACATGGGCCCTACAAGAACAAAAACAACAGGAACCAGGTAGACCAGGGTCGTTTTATGCGCTGAAATGAATGGGGCTTGTCTCAGAATCGGGGGAACCTTTGATGTTGCATGTTTGGGTGGGGGGCGTGCCGATTTCTCGCGGGGGGGGGGGGGGAGAATGTTGCACGAACACCCACCAAAGCAAAAAAAATGCGCACAATCCTGGAGATGTTTTCTTGTAGCCTGATTCAACTGAGCTCCGTTCCTACTTGCTGGTTCGAACACGATGGTTGTTGGACCCTCATAAAATGCGTGGCTCAAATCATATACGTTGTCAAAAAAGTGGGGCTTTCTAATGTGCAAACTGCTTAAAATGTTCTTGCCTTGCATCAACTGGGCGGTTTACAAGCCACGCTGCACCCTTGCAAGGGGAAACAAGTCTGGGAGCTCTAAGACTCCCCCTGCACCAAAAGAGCACATCAAATTGGCCTAACAGGTTGCCTAACAGGTGGTTAGTTCAGCCACCAATTGGGGAATGGGACATCCTGTGATACTGTGGATGGACGAAATCCTGCACCACCTAAGAAACCCTGGAATGATGTTTCCCTGTAAATACCAACAAAGAATGGCTTGCCATGGCTTCTTAGCTGGCGCAGGATTTCGTCCATCCACAGTATTGAGATGGTTTGTATGGCTGAGGCCCGGGCATAGATGCTCATGATGCCGTAGACGATCGGCAGCTGGTCGTTGTACTTGAACTTCACGCTGGCAGGAAAGAGCACCATCCGGACCAGCTGGCCTCGACTGTCCGGGAGGGGTTCGAGTGGAAAAATGCATCCCGCAAATGGAACCCCTTCAAACATCATTGAAGGCACGCCCCCTTTTTTAGAGTACACTCATTCGTGCAAATCTGAGCCACTGTGCCCCCCCCTCAATGACACTGGATGGTATTTTGGTGAGTGTGCTCCGTGTCCCTTACCAATTTCAGATCCCAGATAATATTGACCGCTGTGATACAGCCAAGGGCCTCCATTCGCCGAAGACATGAAACAAGCCATGAGGGGCGCAACTTCTCAGTCATCCCACAAAGCACCGCTCAGCAGCCCTAAGTATACTGCCGAGCCACAAAAAGACACGCGGCAGTGCCGATTAAGGTTCAGAGTTTTCTTGTCTGGTTTGCCTCGCGAACAAAGAGGGTCGCTAAATGTGCAAGACTATCCCGAGATTGGGACACCGGCCGCACAGGTTGCGGCTTCTACATCCCAACATAACATAATACAATGAGAGTTGCGTCTACCGAGCTGGGTCGCAGGTTTACATAGTCCTACTTCTAATCCGTTCATGACTGTCCAGGGGGTCCCTTTATTTGCCCGCTGTGCAAAGGTACCAAGGATTTTGCAGGTCCCCATAAACATCACTCCACCAAAGAGAAACTCAATTAAAATTGGCCCAAAAGGGCGACGTTCAAAACTGTCCAAGATGCAACCCTCATATAACCTCAAATGGCACTTCAAAAGGGGCCTCAAAAGGGGGTTGGTGATTAGTTTGCTGGCAGAACATCCTTTCCCGGGAGGTATATTCTTGTTCCTCGGCTATTTTCCGCCCTGTCTCCGCCCGGCCTCGCGTGGTCAGGGCACCTCAAAGCGTCGGCTGTCAGAAGTCCCGGAAATGTGGATTCGTCTCATGGAAACATGTGACATGTTGAGGGCTCTCCACTACACAGTGTAGAGTTGTCTTTTTGTTGTTCCCCGAGCATCCCAGCCCTCTTAAGCCACAGCCATGTGCACCATGGGCCATGGAGCTGTTGACCCATTTAGTTGCGAGTCCCAACCGTTTTTCTGTGCGTGCCGCCCTTTTTACATGTTGGGGCCTTGAATAAAGGGGGTCCCTGTGGGGACTAGAGTCATTTGGCCAGGTCAAGCATGCATGGAAGGTCTTTCAAAGAGGATCTCTTGATTCATGTTGGTGAATAGTACCCACCCAGTTGCTGGGCTAAATCGATGTTTTTCTCCCGGCGAATCACTGAGCTCGGGAAATAGTTCAAGCTTCATTATTTGACAATCAAAGTCACCATGCAGTAGAAGGGGAGTAGTGTAGCCCCAAATGACTTTGACAACTCCCAGAAGGCCAAACCGTGACAAAGTAATTTGCCCAGATTCTCTGCGCCGATCTGGTGCAGCCTTATCCGTGCAATTGATTTTGTCTATAGGTAGTCCTGAAACTTCGACCACACCAACGAAACCAATCAAACCAACCAACCAACGAAACCATAGAAACTAACCACAACTGCTTCAACCAAAGCCAACCAAAACCACAAACCAGAGCAAGTGCTTCAACCAACCGCGGCGCCCACGTTGGTGCAGTAGAGCAATGCCTTGCCATCCCCCGGCCCCGTAGACTCCAGGGCCAGTGTGCCAGCATAGGCCTGCGGCAGAGAGACCTCCAGCCTCCATCTCCCAGGGCAATATGCAATCAAACCTGGTAAAGTGGCCTCCAGACACGGTCTGGCCGCACCTGGGGACCTATTTCTGGCTGGGACTGTCTCCAACCTCCGACCCGGGTTTTGATGGCTCATATGGTCTCGTGGTGTCGAATAGCGGGGTTCCGTCGTGTTGGAAAGGGTATAGTATTGTGTCACTTGGATAGACGAGGGGGCTGCAACCATGTGTTGTGGTTTCCCACAAAAACACATTTCCATCAAGCAGTTGTCTTTATAGAAAATGGTTGTTGGGGAAGCCACCATTTCTAAATGGCTGTTTCAGGCTCCAGGTGACTTGGACCTTCATTTTGATTGAAACCCCAGGGTCCCCTCAGCACACATTTCGCGGGGGGTCCCTCACGACAACTATCAACACATCGACGGCTCGGGCCCAACTCATGAGGCCCCCGGTTTGAAGGGTTCCCCTTTCAAAACCTCAAGGGCTTCAAACCTCGAAACTTTGGGTGTTCCTTTCTGTCATAAAAAAAAAAAAAAAAAAAAAAAAAAAAACACACACACACACAAGGGGTTCGGAAAGGCGACCAAGGAAATGGGCGGTGCGTCTCAAACTTAAAAACCGATGCTAGCTGAATCTCGATGTTGAGAATGCAGCCGCTGCGACAGATCTTCACAAGATAAGCTCAGCTGGTATAGATTCCCAACAGCGACCGCCAAGAGACCCCTCCGGGAACCCTAGCCCGGAGCCGCCCTGAGCTTCTCTGGGCAGAAGCCCTAAGTTTTCAGCTGTTGGAAAACAAAAATACAAAAGGCCAGAAAAAGGAAAAACAACTTAAACGGACACTATAGAGTGGTTGCATGCCTTGACAGTTCTTCCAAAAGCTATGTGAAAAAAGTAGGCAGACCCCTCCAACTGAATGGCAACGTTGCGGTTTTAAACTCAGCGGGTGAGGGAGGGGGGGGGGTCGGGCGGGATTGATCCATATCAAAGCCATTCCCCTTTTACATGAGCCCCAGTCAATGCTCATTGTGCCCACAGTTCACGTACTTCGGTGAGTATGTCGCATTGTCAGAAAAAGACAGGCCGCGACAAACTAAGAGGTTGTTGTTCTTGGCCCAACTCTAAACCCATGGACAACTTGCTTCTTCTCATTAAAGCTCATTCTCTATTTGGTGGTCCTCTGAAAAAGCACACACACACAAAGGGAAAACGCCTTAGAACTGTAGTGGTTTGAGGGACCCTGTATGGGTGGCTCCCCCAAATATCACTTTCCTTGCTTAGAGGGCAGGGTACTTGGTAAGTACCCACTTAGGAGACTGACAACCATGGCAAGTGGGTTGTAACCAGGCTTACGAACCACTTACCTGACGTACAATCCCCCCTTTAAGTGGGGTTTGAGGGCGCCTTGTTCAGCTTGTCGGTGACCTTGTAGTTCGCCGTGTCCTCCACCGGCGCCTTGGCGATGGGCATCGGCTCACCTGAAAGCGTGGAGTCACGCACGAGCGACAGCTCCGGCTTTCGGACATCCTTCATGGCTTGTTGAGAAAAGTCATGATTTTTTCAGAAATCGCTGGATTTGGGAAATGATGGGACGTGGAAAATCAGTAGTTTGTGAACGCTATTTGCTCATGCGAACTACCCCAAAATTATGCGTTTGTGTCTTTTGCAAACTAGGTAGTAATAAAATATGGGTTTCGGGATTTCGGCAAGCTGTCCCTTTCTCCTTTTTCTTTCGCGAAAAAAGCACATGGGAGGCTTCTGCCAATTTCTCCAATAGGGCCTGAAAGCGCCAAACTAAATGTCATGGAGCCGAGCTGAGGCTTTCCACCAACAGGGGCATTTGATGGTGCCGAGGTGGATGCCCTCCGAAAGTAGAACCCCGATGAACAAGCATACGGTCCGACGCTTTGGGCTGAGCCCAAAGGTGAAACACGATTTTGGGTTGGTGGCTTGGAGCTTAGAGGGCACATTCTCATTTGGTTTCAAGAGGAAGCCTGGGGTTCAACCCGTAAACTAACCCACAACACTCACTCCAGGAATCTCCAGGAAGGCCTGAACTGAAAGTCATGAGGGCCCCTCCTGGTTCTGCATTTGTTTCCGTTGCCACCCAAGAAACAATGCTACATGCTTAAACAGGGCATGCCTCAATGGATGTGGACCCTTCCCCCTCCCTAAACAAATCTATACAGTACTTTGGGCGTTGGGATGGTAGTCTGGGACCCTGGAACACCCCAGCACTTTCCAAACCAAGGAATTTGGGGTACCTTGCTGGTGCCTTTGCAGGTTGGCTTAAAAAGGCAAACAAAAAGGAAAACCACAGTTTTGGAGACCATGCGGTAACAACGGACACGTATGCAGGCGGCTGCACAGTTGTGCCCCCCCCCCACCCCACTGTATTTGACACATACAGGTGTGTGAATCCAGGCCCAACAGCTGTTGAAGAAAGCCGCACCTCATCACGCGCTGGACAATAAAAGGAAAAATTCAAAGGTACCCGCCCAACGACCCAACGCATGACCCTTCCACCTTAAGGAGGGAAGGAGTGGGGTTCCCACGCTTCCAATCTTTCTCTTCTTCACAAAAGGTTAATAAGCCCGAGGGTCTAAATTCACCCCCGTGTCATCTTCAAGGGAGCGAGGATCGTGGTTTTGGCATCCGGCAAAACATGCTGAATGCTTTTTTCGGCCTGTGAGCATCGACTCGTTCACGATCAGGCTGCCCTGCAACAGGATGCCGTCGCACGGCAGCTTTGCGTCGTTGCCTCAATCACCGCGCGAAGCATGGGCTATGGGTAGGTGCTTACATCTAAGATGGGCAAACCACCCCCCAAACACCAACCGGGACCCAGGGCTTTGGGATACACATTAGCCGCTGTATAAAGGGTAACCGGGTAGCCCAGATGTCACTGGGTAGTGCTTTGGGGGTTGTGGAAACCATATTAGATTGAAGGGTCACATTCAAGTCATGTCCGCTTCCGCGAGCCAGCACGCGACTCAAGGACTGCGTGCTCCAAACAAAAGTTGCTGAACATGGTATATCCAACTCATACATCCGTACATTCATCAGAGCCTCCGCAACACACACACACACATCCCGACCCCAAACATGCCAAGCAAAGCCTCCACAAGGATGGTGCCTTTTTTGGGTGCAGGCCCTCCAACAATTATGGAAGCCAGGAGGCTGAAGACTACTTTTCTTGTGGGGAAGCCACAAAGAGGGTAGCCTGTTTACAAGCACCTGGCTTGGTGCCATCGTTTGGAAGGGCACCCTGTCTTTCCGCAGCTGGAACCAAACAACCATGGGGCAAATGGCTTCTTTTTTTGGGGGGGGTCGAGACAAACAGGACAAAAGCCTTGTTGGGCAAAGCAGTTGCCAGGATGTCAGCAAATGCAAAAAGGTCAAACATACGACCGAACACGGAAACACCCTTCACTCACACTCTTTTCCTAGTCAAGAAAGATCACCAAGCCTTGAGCCAAAATAGCCCCAGTGCCATTTTGACTCATATTCCTGACATATTGCATACTACCGCTCTGCTCTTAGCCTCTTGAACTACATTCATGTTTACTGCGGCCACCACAGGCTCCTACCTCCAAGATTCAAGCCATTTGCTGTCCAAACCCGGGCCTTGATTCCGAAGCCTTGGTCTGGGCTGATGGTCTAGCTGTCCTCTATAAAAACCAAAGGTCTGAACAAAAAGCGGAACATCGGCCATATTGTGGGGCTACGCCACTGCCATGGATGGGAAACTCTCCAGGGTTCGGTCAAGCCCTTGTGTCAATGTGTTTGAACAACCCACTTGCAAAGAATCTCCTTTTCATGGCCCAACTTTGGAGCACGCCAAACTCGTATCATATTTAGTCTACCCATGTCTACCCTAAAACAGAAGAAAAACATGGAGGAGACCCCCGTTCCGGTCTCCCCCCTTTGTCCTTTTTTTTCTGGAGTACCAGGGTCTGATTGTTTAAGCCAAGTTTGGCCAACTCCCCCGTAAGAGTTGAGACGCCGTCCATGATCCGAACCACATCGCCCAGCACAATCTTGGAGACATCCACGTCCTGCGCTTGGCGAAAGGCCCCGGACGCTGGGCACAGCGTCAAAAAGTTGTTTTTGGGAGTTGGTCCGTTGGTACTCTTTGTAGGTTGGCTGTCCCAAAAGTATTTTGACACGCACCCAACAAGGGTTCGGTTCCAGCTCCTTTCAACATTCTCTCACTTCCTGAGTGCATTCGCCAAAAAACGTCCGAACTAAAACTTAGTGTTTGGCACTAACATTGAATTCCCACAAAACGTGAAGTCAGGAACTGCGTATTTCAACCTGCTCAGAGTGCCGCTGTTTGAATAACAACCCAATAACCTGTTGATTTAGTCATTTAAACACAGAAAATCAGCCCCTGGGTTGAGCATGGCAAAAAAAATGATTGTTTGAACGACCTCCCTTTCTGTCTCCTCCAGATCCCTGGGAAGCTAGTTTGGTGGACAAAACAGTCTGGCATCTGCAAAGTGTTGCACGTGTTTGGGCACGCACACACACACACACACACCCGACAAATCCGCTGCCCCGAGTGACTAGTAATCCTGGTGACCCACCCCCACCCCGCGGCAGAACTTTCCAAATGGAACCTCCAGGTTGTTTCATTCCCCGAAGATTTCCCCAAATCGCAAGGTTTCCGGAATTTTTGCATTCTGCACATGTGGCAAGTGGATTTGTGTCAGGCGCCTTCCAAGCGCCGTCTCGCAGCACGGTGCATTGCTGCTTCATGGCGGCCATGTCTGCGATCTTCCGCTGGTTGGGGCGGATGATGAAGAGGGCCTGCCCAAACTTTATTTATGGGAACAAATGTGGACACCAGTGGCAATGGCGCATGAGTGGACTGAGCATCCGGAGCTGACCTAGACATGAGAGAGGATGAGGAATCCGGGTTGAACCTTCGAGCTGCCACTGAGCCACTCAGGAAAACCATGGACCCCCACTCAAAAAGTGGCTGAGTGGCCGCGTGACGCTTGTCGAGATGTGAAAGGGCACACCTCCCATGAGCCCACCTGGGTTGCATTACTACTGCGTGCCCATGAAAGGTCCCGACAGGCTTCCAAACTGGCACTGCACGGTGCCTGGCAATTTTATCCTCAAGCAAAACACGCTGCTCATGCTATCTTCACTATCTTCTTGGGAACAACATAAGAAGCTTTTTCTTCCGTAGACATTTGTCATCGCCATACGCAGATCGGCAAGAAGACAGCGCTTCTGGCATCGAAAGTAAAGCGCTCTTCCTCTAAGGCCAGATGACATTGCTGTCAGTCCCTTGAAGTTTAATGGCTTCTTAGCCCTGTCGTCTTTGCGGGAACTGGCGACTGCAGCGGGTGGTCGACACGCGGCGCCCTTTTGCGCAGCTACGTTGTGAGGAAGTGGTGGGGAGGGGGCTTGATGTTTTAATTGGGGGCTGTTTTCACTTTTCTAGCTTCTTATTCCAGCTCGATGTTAGGCTGGGGGCTTTGCAAGCCAGGGAAATTAATCAAATTGGCGCTGCTCCATTTGATTTTGCCGCCGTTCACCGACCAACGTTGAGCCCCTCCAGCAAAACTTTCACCAAGGTCTGAGTTCCAGGAATAGGATAACCCCTTCAACTCCCAGGAACCGCATGAGAGCAGCGCCTGCAAAGCGACCTGTCTTTAGTACGATAACAGCCAGACGTCCACGCTTTGGGAGCTGCTTGCGTTGCGAGGGCTCAACAAACTAAGTCTTTATCAAGAAATTCCAGAAACAAGCAGCCACTCAGCCACTCAGCCACTCACCCACTCAGCTTGAGTGGCTGAGTGGCTGAGCAGCTGCATGAAAACATCCTCCAATACGCGTTCTCCCCCTCCCCCCCCCCGAAAAGGACCCCAAACACATGAAAGCCAATAGGGCCTAATGGTGCCCAATTGGGCTTGTCTACTTTGAATGGTTGGTTAATGTTTAGATGCCCCCCCGGTAGGGAGCCTTTGGGATCCGTAACTCTGGCTGCCTTCCCTACAATAGAGCCAAGCGACCCGATAGATCCCGGAACCCAGCATCATAGAGAGCCAAATGAAGCCGATGTTCCTTGGCCAGACGGATCCGACGGCCAAATGCATGAAAACCAGTTCGCCGGTTGGACGGAAAAATGGCGGGAAACCAAAAGGACACATGGGTGAAAGAGGTAGCTAAGTCCAAGCCAGTGTTCCAGGTGGAGTAGGCGACGTAGGCCCAACTGCCGATGGAGTTGAAGATGTAGGTGAAGTCCTCATCCAAAAAAGCAAACACCGGCCCTTGGAAACCCCTGAAGTCAATCGGAGGGTCCATTACTGCTTTATGGGAACAGATTCAGCAGTTTGATGAATGTGAGAGTCCGACTTGAGGAAACACTGCAGCAATCCGGCAGGTTGCTCAACTCGGGATCAGGGGAGCCATGGCAGATTCATGGCGCCCAGTGACTTATTAGGGGCCTTAACGATCAATGAACTTGACCTATGGCGAAGCCCCATAGGCCCCTGCTATGGCTCTAAATGTCCATGAGCCTGACTGGGCACCCTGTGGTGGACACAATTTACTTCTCTCAACATGGTGCACCCCCAAAGTGTGGGTGTCGGGTACCTTTTGGTTTGGGTGGTCATCCTCCTTTTGAGACATCCAAATCCGTATGTCGCCGCCCAACAGACACGACACAACTTCTCTGCCGGGGCGCTGCAAACTCCGTACCCAGAGCCTCCAAAACGCCTCCAAGGCAAAAGGCAACCAGCCGGCAAGCTCAATCCCAAACCCCTTCCGTGGGTATGTGTCAACACAAGGGAGCTCCAAAATGGTGGTTGTCCTTTCCGTTTCGGCTTGAACCGACCTGAAAAGTGAAAAGGAGCCCTCAAACAGCACAAGCAACTCTTGCTCGCTGGAAAACAGCGAACCTCCAGGGCACAGAAGCAGGTAGCATGCGTTGTTGCGGGATTTGAGTGTGTTCAAAGAATGCGGCCGCAGGTCTCCTTTCGCTTTCACATCCAACAGGGGCGTCCCCTAGTTTTGTACAGCCACGTTTCTTTTTCCCCAGTGGCAGCTATGCGGTCTAGGGCAATCATACGGGGTGTCCCTGGCTCCTGGGGGTAAGTTCCGGGGCTGCCGGGCATATTCCTTCCTCGGGTGCTTGCAAAGTCCGCAGTTCAGGGCTGGGTCAACCCCTCTAAACATGTAACCATTGTTAAAACAACTTTTGGTCTCAAGGGCTCATCCCAGCCATGGGAAAAAGGGAACCTTTCATGGTTAAAGTTAGAGGGTAGCCTCTCACAAAATGGGGAAGCAAGGTGTGTGTGTGTGTGTGTGTCGTAGAATAGGGGACCCTCAAAACGGGTGGTTTTCTTTTTGGTTTCCACATGTTTCAACAAAACTCACTCCTACAGAGGGACCCCCGTCGCAGGCCAAAGAAAACGGCACAGGCCTGGCACATGGACGTGGATGGTGTTCTCGCCGCAGGCCGCCAGGTTCCTCGGCACTCGGCACCCGGCAGGCCGTGCATCAAAATGTGGGACCATGTGGGACCCAAAACATGTTGCCGTTCTTCCTGGCTTCCACTTGGAACTACTCCTAAAGGAGTATGGACCGAGCCTTAAACAAAAGACACGCCCACTCCCATCTCCAGACCTCCAGTCATTGAGGATAAAAGGGTTTTGCTGGTAGCGGATGCTAAAGGGAAACCCCCTCAAAAAATTGGAAGACAACGACAAAGGGACATCTGGGACGAAATTCCCAAGCAGTACCCCAAACAATCTCGGAGCCTATGCAGTGACTGCTGAGGGACAAGCTGCAGTGGGAAATACGGCCATGGTGACCCCTTTAAGTGAGTTTCCCTGGGTGACCTCCGTTTTGGGCTGTCATAAACATGGAAAGCTAGTCATCTTTGCTTGAGTGATCCCTTTCGAAATGAAAAATGCACCCCAGCAAAACCCTTGATCGTGGATTTTCAGTCGCAACCCCTTTGCGAGGTCGCGAGATCTTGCCTGGAATAGGGGGCCGACCCCCCGGAAAACCCCAACTTTGAGGTTGCGGGAAACAGGCAGAAACCAAACGTTGATCGCAGCAAAATTCACCAGCAACTTTGGGTGCATGCAAGTCATAGACAATTAGAGAGACATGCAGCATAGCTCTACCTTATTGCTCTATCTTAATTCAACCTGGTGCCGAAAAATAATTTACACATCCACTGTCCATCGAGCAAGTGCTGCTCATAGAAACTTGATTATTGGGAAACCATGATTTGTAAAATTGCTGTTTCAGGTTCCAGGATAGGGTCAAGTCAAGTCCACAAGCTCATGAGAATGCAGGGCGGAGAAAAGACCGTCCTGGGCAGTCGTTATGCCAGGACTGAAACTGGTAAATTGGCAGGGCGAATCATGATAACTCACCAACCTGAAATAAGAACGCATCATGCGGTGCGAGGTTCTGTTTTGACTGCTTGGATTCCCAAACAAATCTGCCAAACCCCAAAAAGCTCATGCTTTGGGGTGCCACATACACGGACCAAACAACAAGCCATTCTGACTAAGATTAAGGTTTAGGGTCATATTAAGGTGAATCTCAGGGTTTCCCATATTTCCCCTGAAAACATCATCTCTACTTGACAAAAGTGACCAGCAAACCCAGCAAAGGGGGAAACTTAGGGACCCCTGCATCTAGGCCCAGTTATAGTATCCGCCGACAACAGACGGCGTGTTGGGGGGGGTCCACGTACCACGCGGTGATTCGAAAACGCTTCACTAAATCTGTTCATTGTGCGGGCTTGCGCAACTCAGTTTGTCAAAAACATTGGGGTGTTCGATTCCCCCGGGTGCGCTTTCGCATCCTTAGCAGTTCCAGTGGCACATCGCCAGCATCACCTGCATCATCCGCATCAGCGCCTGCCAAGGATGCGGATGATGCAAGTGATGCTGGGGATGTTGCCCATGCTGGTGAAGGAAATGAAGGGGGGAAAGGGGAAAGGATCTCAACAGCGAAAGGGGGGGAAAGATCTCAGGGAGGAAAGGGAGAAGATCTGAGAAAAAATGCCTTAAGGGGGAAAGGGGGGAAAAGATCTTTGGAAGGAAAATGGAAATCTTTCTCGGGGGGAACAGGCCCTAAGGGGCAATGGGGGGACAGGATCTCAAACGGGAAAGATCTCAGGGAGGAAAGGGAGAAGATCTGGGGAAAAAAAGCCTTAAGGGTGTTGAGATCCTTTGCCCCCTTCCCTTTAAGGCCTCTCCAGATCTTCTCCCTTTTCCTTCCTAAGATTGTTTCCCGCCTTTCCCTGTTGAGATCCTTCCCACCCTTTCCCCCTCAGGCCTTTCCCCCCCCCTGAGAGCGTCTCCCTTTTCCTTTCCTTCCTTAGATCTTTCCCCCCTTTCCCGGTTGGCCTTTTTCTCTCAGATCTTCTCCCTTTCCTCCCTAAGATCTTTTCCACCCCTTTCCCTGTTGAGATCATTTCCCCCCTTTCCCCTCTACGGCCATTGCCCCCAGATCTTCTCCCTTTCCTCCCTAAGATCTTTCCCCCCCTTTCCCTGCTCAGATCCTTTCCCCCCTTTCCCCCCTAAGGCCTTTCCCCCCCTGAGATCTTCTCCCTTTTCCTCCCTAAGATCTTTTGCCACCTTTCCCTGTTGAGATCCATTCCCCCTTTCCCCCCTAAGGCCCTTTCTCCCTCTGAGTTTTTCCCTTTTCCTCCCTACGATGTTTTCCCCCCTCTCCCTGTTGAGATCCTTTCCCTCCTTTCCCCCCTAAGGCCTTTTTTCCCCCCGCGATCTTCCCCCTTTTCCTTCCTAAGATCTTTTCCCCCCTTTCCTTGTTGAGATCCTTTCCCGCCCTTTCCCCCCTAAGGCGTTTTCCCCCCAAGATCTTCTCCCTTTTCCTCCCTAAGATCCTTTGCCCCCTTTCCCTGTTGAGGTCCTTTCCCCTCTTTCCCCCCTAAGGCCTTTCCCCCCCTGAGATCTTCCCCCTTGTCCTCCCCAAGATCTTTTCCCTTGGTTGAGATCCTTTCCCCCTTTCCCCCCAAGATCTTCTCCCTTTTCCTCCCTAGGATCCTCTCCCACCTTTCCCTGTTGAGCTCCTTTCCCCCTTTTCCCCCTAAGGCCTTTTCAGATCTTCTCCCTTTTCCTCCCGAAGATCCTTTGCCCCCTTTCCCTGTTGAGATCCTTTCCCCCTTTCCCCCCTAAGGCCTTTTCCCTGCCTGGGATCTTCTCCCTTTCCTCACTGAGATCTTTCCCCCCCTTTCCCTGTTGAGATCCTTTCCCTCCTTTCCTTCCTAAGGCCTTTCCCCCCGCTGAGATCTTCTCCCTATTCCTCCTTAAGATCCTTTGCCTCCTTTCCCCGTTGAGATCCTTTCCCTTCTTCCCTTTAAGGCCTTTCCAGATCTTTTCCCTTTTCCTTCCTAAGATTGTTTCCCCCCTTTCCCTGTTGAGATCCTTCCCACCCTTTCCCGCCTAAGGCCTTTCCCCCCTGAGAGCTTCTCCCTTTTCCTTCCTTAGATCTTTCCCCCCTTTCCCTGTTGGCCTTTTTTCCCCCAGATCTTCTCCCTTTCCTCCCTAAGATATTTTCCACCCCTTCCCTGTTGAGATCGTTTCTCCCCTTCCCCTCTAAGGCCTTTGTCCCCAGATCTTCTCCCTTTCCTCCCTAAGATCTTTCCCCCCCCCCCTTTCCCTGCTGAGATCATTTTCCCCTTTTCCCCCCTAAGGCCTTTCCCCCCCCTGAGAGCTTCTCCCTTTTCCTTCCGAAGATATTTTCCCACCTTTCCCTGTTGGGCTTTCCCCCCTAAGTCCTTTTCTCCCAAATCTTCTCCCTTTCCTCCCTAAGATCTTCCCCCCCCTTTCCTCCCTAAGATCTTTCCCACCCTTTCCCTGTTGAGATCCTTTCCCCCCTTTCCCTCCCAAGGCCTTTCCCCCCCTGAGAGCTTCTCCCTTTTCCTTCCTATTATCTTTTCCCCCCTTTCCCTGTTGGGCTTTCCCCCCTAAGTCCTTGTCTCCCAGATCTTCTCCCTTTCCTCCCTAAGATCTTCCCCCCCCCCTTTCCTTCCTAAGATTGTTTCCCCCCTTTCCCTGTTGAGATCCTTCCCACCCTTTCCCCCCTGAGGCCTTTCCCCGCCTGAGAGCCTCTCCTTCCGTAGGTCTTTCCCCCCTGTCCCTGTTGGCCTTTTTTCCCCCAGATCTTCTCCCTTTCCTCCCTGAGATCTTTTCCACCCCTTTCCCTGTTGAGATCATTTCTCCCCTTTCCCCCCTAAGGCCTTTGCCCCCAGATCTTCTCCCTTTCCTCCCCTTTCCCTGCTCAGATCATTTCCCCCCTTTCCCCCCTAAGGCCTTTCCCCCCCTGAGATCTTCTCCCTTTTCCTCCCTGAGATTTTTTGCAATTTTTCCCTGTTGACATCCATTCCTCCTTTCCACCCTATTTCTTCCTCTGAGTTTTCCCTTTTCCTCCCTACGATGTTTTCCCCCCTCTCCCTGTTGAGATCCTTTCCCTCCTTTCCCCCCTAAGGCCTTTTTTCCCCCCGCGATCTTCCCCCTTTTCCTTCCTAGGATCTTTTCCCACCTTTCCTTGTTGAGATCCTTTCCCGCCCTTTCCCCCCTAAGGCGTTGTCCCCCCCAAGGTCTTCTCCCTTTTCCTCCCTAAGATCCTTTGCTTGCTTTCCCTGTTGAGATCCTTTCCCCCCTTTCCCCCCTAAGGCCTTTCCCCCCCTGAGATCTTCTCCCTTGTCCTCCCCAAGATCTTTTCCCTTGGTTGAGATCCTTTCCCCCTTTCCCCCCGAGATCTTCTCCCTTTTCCTCCCTAGGATCTTCTCCCACCTTTCCCTGTTGAGCTCCTTTCCCCCTTTTCCCCCTAAGGCCTTTTCAGATCTTCTCCCTTTTCCTCCCTAAGATCCTTTGCCCCCTTTCCCTGTTGAGATCCTTTCCCCCTTTCCCCCCTAAGGCCTTTTCCCTGCCTGGGATCTTCTCCCTTTCCTCACTGAGATCTTTCCCCCCCTTTCCATGTTGAGATCCTTTCCCTCCTTTCCTTCCTAAGGCCTTTCCCCCCGCTGAGATCTTCTTCCTATTCCTCCTTAAGATCCTTTGCCTCCTTTCCCCGTTGAGATCCTTTCCCTTCTTCCCTTTAAGGCCTTTCCAGATCTTCTCCCTTTTCCTTCCTAAGATTGTTTCCCCCCTTTCCCTGTTGAGATCCTTCCCACCCTTTCCCGCCTAAGGCCTTTCCCCCCTGAGAGCTTCTCCCTTTTCCTTCCTTAGATCTTTCCCCCCTTTCCCTGTTGGCCTTTTTTCCCCCAGATCTTCTCCCTTTCCTCCCTAAGATCTTTTCCACCCCTTTCCCTGTTGAGATCATTTCTCCCCTTTCCCCCCTAAGGCCTTTGTCCCCAGATCTTCTCCCTTTCCTCCCTAAGATCTTTCCCCCCCCCCCCTTTCCCTGCTGAGATCCTTTTCCCCCTTTCCCCCCTAAGGCCTTTCCCCCCCCTGAGAGCTTCCCTTTTCCTTCCTAAATCTTTTCCCCCCTTTCCCTGTTGGGCTTTCCCCCCTAAGTCCTTTTCTCCCAGATCTTCTCCCTTTCCTCCCTAAGATCTTCCCCCCCCCTTTCCTCCCTAAGATCTTTCCCACCCTTTCCCTGTTGAGATCCTTTCCCCCCTTTCCCTCCCAAGGCCTTTCCCCCCCTGAAGATCTTTTCCCCCCTTTCCATGTTGGCCTTTTTTCCCCAGATCTTCTCCCTTTCCTCCCTAAGATCTTTTCCACCCCTTTCCCTGTTGAGATCATTTCTCCCCTTTCCCCCCTAAGGCCTTTTTGCCCCAGATCTTCTGCCTTTCCTCCCTAAGATCTTCCCCCCCCCCCCAGCTCCCTGTTGAGATCATTTATTTCCCCCCTTTTCCTTCTAAGGCCTTTTCCCACCCTCAGTTCTTCTCCCTTTTCCTCCCAAAGATCTTTCCCCCCCTTTCCTCCCTAAGTCCTTTTCCCTGAGTTTGTCTCCCTTTGCCTCCCTAAGATCTTTTCCCCCCTTTCCCGCTTAAGATCCTTTCCCCCGTTTCCCCCCTAAGGCCTTTTCCCCCCAAGATCTCCACCCTTCTCTTCCCAAAGTCTTTTTCCCCCTTTCCCGTTTGAGATCCTGTCCCCCCATTGCCCCTTAGGGCCTGTTCCCCCCGAGAAAGATTTCCATTTTCCTCCCAAAGATCTTTTCCCCCCTTTCCCTTAAGGAGGAATAGGGAGAAGATCTCAGCGGGGGGAAAGGCCGTAGGGGGGAAAGGGGGGAAAGGATCTCAACAGGGAAAGGGGGGGAAAGATCTCAGGAAAAAGATCCCAGGGAGGAAAAGGCCGTAGGGGGGGAAGTGGGGGAAAGGGAGGAAAAGGGAGAAGAACTCAGGGGGGAAAAGGCCTTAGGGGGGGAAGGGGGGAAAGGATCTCAACAGGGAGAGGGGGGAAAACATCTTAGGGAGGAAAAGGGAAACATCAGAGGGAGAAAAGGCCTTAGGGCGGAAAGGGGGAATGTATCTCAACAAAGACAGGGGGGGCAAAAATCTCAGAGGGGAAGGGGGCAAGGGGACAATTCCAAAGGGACGCAAATAAGAAAGCAGGCCTGTAATGTCGGCGGCCTGAGCCGGAGGCACTAAAAATTTTCTGCGATCCAAGCTTCTCCCTCGCCGCATCCTTCGACAGACCGCCCTGCCTCAGCACCTTATGGGCTTCCTGCGGACGCGGGCTGGGGTGGGGAATAATATTGACTGATTGGCCCAAGTTTCCCTTCTATGGCACCTTCTAGTCAGTCATGGATGGGCATTTCTGCATTTAGATGGGTGTCAAAACGGGGAAAGCAAGGGGGGGTGCCTTCGTATGAAGGATCAAGGTGGCCTGACGCCGCTAACCGCCATGATGCGCACGCGTTGGCCAGCTCAAAAACAGGCCCAATCCCCATCTAGCTGTCCCCATGCCCCTCATCCTGCTAGCGTCCATGTTGGGGCAACGCGCTTGCGCGATGACAGCGTAAGGGCCATGGTGCTGGTCTTGACCACAGTAGCGCGATGCCACCAACGTTGCGCATGCAATCAACGCAACGCAAGCTCGAATCCCCCCTGCCCGCACCCGCACCAAGTTTATGAAACGAAAAGCGGGTGTTCCATAATGGTGAAACACGTACGATTTGCACACGTGTGCAAGTGTGTTTATTGGAAGTGCGGCAACCTCCCCTTGACATGTTAAATGGGTGGTTTCAAAGCTAACGTTTGGAAAGCCAAGAGGCAACCAAACCATTCACTCACGATTGGATCCAAAGGTGCTATTGCCGTTTGTGCCGCCCAAAAACAGATGTTCAAAGGCGCCAAAAGGGGATAATGGCCGTTGCTGCGCCTCCAAAAGTTTAGGGCCCAAACCTTGAACAAAACACGCGCACACACACACACACATGCATCGAAATACAGCGGACGCACTGAAGAAGAAATCATTGTATAAGAAATAGAGGGGCTGAGATTGCCAAATCAAGTAGGATACAACTGCATTTGCTGCTAAGAAGTTGAGCCCTCTGGATTTTTCGCCCACTGGCTTAGCAAACTTGTGCGATGAAGAAAGCACTTTGACCATCAGAGAAGTGCCCGCTAAGAAATCCAGGGGCCCAATTTCTTAGTGGGGATGGTTCCCAAAAGGCTCCAAAAGCTCCCAAAAAAGCATTTTTGACCATCAGGGAAGTTCCGCCAAGAAATTGAGCCCCTAAACTTCTTAGCAAAGTAGTCCTTCATCACCCGCGAGACTACAGCCTAGTAAATGAAGACAAGGTTGATAAATTATATTGGCTAGGAAATTCAGCCTCCCTGGGCCTCGGCCAGCCGATTTCTTATTACAGTGCTCACACAATACCTGATAATACACACATATGCCCCGCACGCATATACACACATATGCCACGTGCATAGCCCTTTATGGAGGGCCACACATAGGAGAGAAATGCACTTGGTACACCAATGGTCCCCTCTCCTGCGGGTTGGGCTCGATGAGGCCCATGGGCACGAAGCACTCCGGCTCATCGTCGTAGATGTAGCGCACGCAGGTGTACTCCTCAGGAAAGGGGCAGGCGCTGACAGAAAGAATTCTTTACAACTTAGTGGTCCGTTGATCCCTAGCTAAAAATTAAACTTTTGGCAAGATATGTCATAAATCCCAAAAACTCCAAAAGTCTAGGCTATGGCTGGGAACAACCAAAATAACGTAGATGACAGGTGAACGTGGTGCGAATCAGCTGGCGACTCCCTCATCATTTTGTGGGAAGGGGCCGGCTCCCGTCACTGAAGGGGCCCAAGGGGGGTGCTGGCCAGGGACGTGAACCACTCTGAAGCTGCTGTTCAGCAGCCCGTAAAGCGGAGTTGTGGACAAGGACGGAATGAGTCGAACAAAGCATATACCAAATCGACCCTGCCAGCTTCCAAGAGCATGCATGATGTCTGGGCAAAATTGGCGGAATCAACAAGTTGTCATCAAGTCCATGGATGCAGTTTGAGGGAACCTAAATGAGGTTGTTCAGACTGGTGATACGTTGCGCTTGTTTCCACAGGTCTGCATTACTCGAATTCCGAAGTATGATCTCGGTAAGCTCGCTATCAGTGCAGACATTTTTACTCTGATGACTCCAAAAACCTCATACCGAGAAACAAACAAAACACTTCCAGGCCAAGAATCCACATGCCGCGTCCCGTGGCCGTCTTCCTCGATGGGCATCACCTGGAGGGTAAAGCCAAAGGCGTGCGCTCCTTTGCAATTGGGGCGCTTCTCAATTCTTTGGTACCCTTTTCCGGTTGATGGTTTCCTTTTGGCTTCCCTATAACATCATAAGAAGCAGGGGTTCCCTATTCGGAGAACCATACTCCGCGGGATGACAATTCGAAAGGGTGACGGGTGCAAAAGCCTAAACTTTGCGCGTGCCATGGTCCTACGCCAGGGTCGAGCCTTTCGCAAAAGAGACGCTCGCTGGGCAAATGGCTTGTATCCTACAGTCACACCAGCGACTGTGCCATGGCGAGTGAAGCAACCCTTTAACTGGGCGCCGTCATTCACTTGCTTGGGGTGGACGGGCTGGTCATGCTGGGAATCCCCAGCAGGTGGGGGAGAACGCCGTGGGAACAAAAGCCACAGGACACGATGCAGTGAATCCACACGCATGGCCCGTTTCAAGGCTTTCATGCGAGAACTAGAAGTGGATGATGGGATGTCAAGGAGTCAAGCCAACCACTCATATGCTCCAAGTCAAAAAACGCTGACTGTCAGTGCTTGCTTGGGCTGACAGCCGAATGAATAGCATACCGTCTCCAGAACAAGGCCCAACTTCGCCTAATTAGACGTCCCACGGAAGGCCCTCGCAAGGTATCCCTTAAACCCCAAGGGATCGCAAACCCTACGCTTCAGGGCTCTCTACATGTTTCACTTGAACATCACCGCACCAAGAGGCACTCAGCGGTCAGTGCGATGTCTAAGTGCCTTCAAGGGGCAAATACAGGGACCCGCGCATTGCTCCTTCCCCAAAAGATAAGTGGGCTAGAGAACAGAAAGCCCTTGCAAAACCCCCTTCAAAAGTTAACGCTGGCAAGGGAAGGACACCCAAGAGAGCCTGAGGCAACATGGCTCGTGTCAAGTCTGGCAAATCATTTTTGGAAATTGGGGTACCCCGAAAGGGCCATTGGGGTACGCCGAAAGGGCCTTTTTCTGGGCAAAAAGGTGAAGAAAAAAAAACTCCGGGGACATCCGCCTGACGGGCGCTGGCACGCTTCACCCGCTTCGACCACTCCGCCACCACGTTGGGGAGCCAGGCGTCCTCACACTTTGAAGGGCCAAGGGGCGAGGTCAAGGATACCTTCCGCAAGGGAAGTGGACGTTTTGGGGCTTCCCCAAAAAGGAAGTAGGCCTCCAAAACCCTCCGATCCATGATTGTTGGAGGAAAGGTGTATAATGGGTAACAATCAGCTGGCATACCTAATCAATAGCACACTCTTGAAGATTTTCCAGGAAATGGGTTGTTACTCCAAAAACTCAGACTCATGGTGTTTGCGGAAACTGGAAACGTGAACCCCCTACGCTGGTAAAGCGCCTTACCCCGTTCGGTGAGCTCGTTGTATTTTAAGTCCAGAAGTATAACCCGTGTGCACCAAATGCATACAGCACCATCTGGGTGAAATAGAAGAGTTCACCAACCGAACATGAGCAAACCAAACGAAAAAGCTTCATCATATCATGCGGTCGCGAGCCTGTGAGGTCGCCATGATTTCCCCAAACAACTCACCGCATTTCTTCCGCACAGAAAGGAATCGGCAGGAAAACCACCTGGGAAACACCTCGCCTCGCCCTTCTCATCGGGATCTTCCACATCATCCGGATCCACGTAGATGTCCTCATCCACGATCCTCAAACCACGGTTTGTTCGAGGTGTGACGCGTCCACTTGTTTAAACCACTGACATTGAAACATGTGCCACACGAAACACGAGCTACGTCTTGCAATGTGTTGCTTAGGTTCTCCTCCGGGGTGCACAGAAAAACATGTGTTGTTCCAAATTTCGTCACATCCGAAGAGACCCCAGCGTATGCGTGGACAGGACATGTCTTAGGGGTATGACTCGACCGCTGGAAAATGGAAAATAAAATTAAAAACATGGTACTCGAGAAACAAACAAGGAAACATACGGCACAAACAATGTTGCTCTCCAACAGCGTACATCTTTATTCTGACTGGCTCCTGGATGTCAATCTGATGAAAGCAGAGCAGTCCGTGCACCAAGATCTGCGACTGGATGTGGTTGAATCTGACTCTTGTGTGCTGTCTGGATGGCTTGCTTAGAACAGTTTGGAATCCTCGAAAAGGAGTGCTACGCTTTGAGGTGGCATGCACTTCCCCAATGCGATGATTCACAAAGGAAATGAACAAAACTGGTCAGGTTCCCCTTCTTTGGTGATCTCACTTGCAGGGCTGCCAGCAGAAAAATTGACAAGGACTGCTTGTTTGGCAACAATTCTCAAGCAGGGTTGCTCACGAAAAGGGGGCCCCTATAGGGAATGCTCTCCAGACATTGACTAAAATTGGCCCATTCTCCCGCCCCCTACTTCAGCCTAAGGCAACCCCTGCCAAAAAACAGACTTACGGGGTCATCCCCGAGTCCGTTGCAACCGGGATTTGCGGTGAAGCACGGCTCGCCGAGCGGCAAATGCGAAGCGTCATCCATCGAAGAGCACGGCAGCATGGAAAATGCGCTCATGGCCTCGGAACGAGGGTGTTCGGATTCCTCTACAAATGGTGGATTTTGGGTTACATGGCAATCTGCAGGGAGTAAATAAGTCTATGAACCCCGTTCTAATTCTTTTATAATCGTACACTGTAGTAAAATGGCCAAAACTGGAAGAATGGCAAACGACTGGGCACCCTTTTGGTTTTGGTTGGACGATTTGGGAGAGGCCCCCACACAAAGTGGTTTGCCATTTTTCTCCATTCTGGAGCCGCTCTGCGGCAGTGCCGCTGGGAAGGTGGTCTGGATCTCATACATGATCGTAAATTTAACCACAGTGGATATACACCTGTACACGTACACCCTGGATACAACCACGTGAGGGGTCTGGATGACCTGTCTCCGCTTCAAAGCAAATGAAAGACTACCCGCTCATGGAACAAGCAACGCAAGCACGCCACCCATTTGGTGACTTGGAGGAAATGGCCATGCGGGAAACGCAGTCGGTCATTGGAAGTGGAGTGGGAAATGACGATGTGATTTGGCCAACTGCGCCCTCACCCAAAACAGCAAGCCGGAGTGGCGGCCAAACTTGGAATGAGATCCGTGTTTCCAGAGTCAGGTCCGGATCATCACCAACTTCCTGGTGGCCAAACACGGTTCACCTTCTGACCCCCCGGTGGAGGAGCCAGTGAGGGATCCCTGTCCAAAAGAGTTTTCTACCTGGAACCTGAAACAACCTTTCACACATGGCGGCCCAAACCATAACTCCCTATGAACAAACCTGATGGTGGGCCCAGGTACACTGGCAGGAACCCGGCTCATGGTTGGGGAAATCCCCCTGCTGTGTATGGGGCCCGGTCAAGGCCAACCCTCGCCTAGACTCCCGCCCTGTCTGGCGGGACTGGGCGTTCGCGCCGTGTAGAACTTGGAGGCGATGCCCGCAGTCACATGGACGATGGTGAACCACACGCACCTGGCAACCCAGGTGAAATTAGAAAGGAGCGTTCCCTAGAGTCCCTAGAGGCCCAATGCCCAAATAAAATACCAACTTTTCAGCCAAAACTTGCAATTTGCAAATATTAGAATAGTGTTGAAAACTGAAACAAGGACTCCACAAGTAAAGGGCTTGCATCATGGTGAGCTCGTTTTTACCCGCAAGGGAGCTCGCCATCAAATAGGCAAACAAGTCTTCTGACCCAAACAGTCCGTCAAAGGAAAAGTACATAAGTAACCCCTACGCACTGTTAAAATGACCTGACCATATTGCCATAAGTCACAATCTGGAAAAGGGAATCCCCATCTCCCGACGGCTGACACTTACAAAATATGCGGAAGCAGTCCCAGCCTCCCCCGCTGCCCCAGTCTCGGAAATGCGTCAGATCCCGTTTCCCTGGAACTTGTGGGTTTATCCCTTGGGTGTTGCAAGACTTTGAGTGAGTGTTTTCACGTGAGGGGTCGAAAATGACTTGCTTTCCCTGGACATGGGAATAGTCGCCGGCTTGTGCGAAATCGCGTGAGTCCCGCCACTACTTTGGTTTCGCCTTGCCATCTGCGCACAGCTGATCGTGCGACACTAGGATGGTCTGCATGGCTAAGCCGATCGCCCGAACCACAAATGTTCACAGCGCCGTTTGGAGCAAAGCACATGCCGACTTCTTCAGCGCGAAGGTGGGATTTCTGGGAACGGAGGAGTTGGGTTCTACTTCAAGAAAACCCCTTGTTTTGATACATGTCCAGACCGGCTACGCAAGAAGGCGGAGACACCGAAAAGCTCCAAAGGCGCTAGGCCCATGACGTTCGATGATGTCAAACCGACTAGCCATGCGGACTAGTTGTGGATGTGAGAGTCCGAAGCAACTGACCCGGACCTGATTGCGCTATCCACGTTGATGGGCAAAGTTCGAAATAGAAAGCATCAACTGGCAGTCTGCATAGGTAGAGATGGGCCCCGTCAGTCGGGGGGAACAAGTAATGTGTGTGTGTGTACCTATCTATGTATACATATATATATATATATATATCATACATATGTATATATATATATACGTCTAGCAAGTAAGTAAGTAAATAAGTAAGTAAGTAGGTAGGTGGGTAAGTAAGTAAGTAAGTAAGTAAGAAGGAAAGAAAGACAAACAGAAAGAACAAAAGAAAGAAATACAGAAACACATAGAGAGAGGACATATCTTCGGATGTTCTTGCTATCGGCGTCAAAACCGTCCCACAAAAACACATCTCATGCCAAACAAACCTGCAAACAAAAAGGTGTTTTTCGAGTGCGGGTTCGCCAGCTTTTGGGCACATGTTCAGTGCGTCATTTTGGAAGAAACCGGCCTGAAAAAAAGAACTGGTGCGGTTGGTGCTTTTGTTGCTGTTGCTGTTTCTGGCTGGTGGGGGAGGAGGGGGTGGGGGGAAGGCGGGGGATGGTACCGTCGTCATGAAAGGCGGGCACACACACACGGACAGACATGGCAGTGCACACGCAATTCGATGCCAGCCACGCCCCCAGGCACGCGTGCACACACACACAAGCACGCACACGCAAACCTAGCATACAATCTTCAGCAAGCCGATATTTTGGCACAGATTTGAACATGATGCGTGGCTATGTCAAGCCGCACCCCTTCACCGAAGAGACGACGACCGCATGCAGTTTCCCCGGTGAGCGTTGCCTCCGTTGCCTCTGACCAACGTGTCTGTCCCATTTCGTGGGACGGTTTCGACGCTGCCGGGTTTGGCATCGGTTGCTTTTGCTTCACTTGTAGTAACTGCTTTCTTTTCACGTTTCGAGTGGGTGGTTGTTTTTTGAGGGTCCCTGTTTACCTTGTTTAACGGGAAGCCGAAAGGAAAACCGATGCCACGTGTTTTTTGTGTGGGGGGGCTCTGCTTTGGCACATATTCCAAAGGTTTTGATATCCCATCATCACAATCCCGATGGAGCCAAGCAGTAGAACTCCCTTAAGACATAGCCTCCAACCAGGCGAGTTTTGCGTCCAAATCCCCATTTTGACACATACCCATCTGGACAATTCCTCATCTTCCACCCTGTGCTTCGCTTGCCATCGCCAGGCAATCCGCCAGATTTAACGCATGGCGGGAAAACCAGGGCAGCATCAGTCCGTTCCAGGTGAAGGTGTCCTGCCAGTACTGAGTCGACGGTGGGAAGGGCAGGTCATCCGAGAGGACCTGAGACGCTTCGCTTCTCGCTTTCGGCGGGCGATTGGGTGGCATGGGGAGAAGCTTGCTGGTTCAAGAGGCAGCGGGAAGGCTGCCTTGAAGCTATATCAAACCAAAAAGAGAATAGTTCAAAAGATGATAAGGTAAGGCAATCCTATCAGATGCCGCGAAAGGAAACCACCAGGGATGGTGTACGCTTTGTTTGAGTGGCGATGGCCATCCCTTCTAACACCAAGTAAAAGAGTCTTTTGACCATAGAAAGATTTGGGTCTGTGCTCTTTGAGGGTACCCTTTCTAGGTCAGTTTAAGGGACACCCAAACGGAAAACCGAAGCCATGCTTGGAGCTCCCTCATTTTTGCGAACCCCATGCGCGAAAAAGAGTTGCCATTGTTTGTTTTGTTGTGGAATGGCTCGCAAGATAAAGGGAAACAACGAGGGGAACCCATGAATTTCTAAATGACTCTGTTGCTCGGAATGGCATATTGAAAAAGAATCCTTACTCGGAAACCCAGTGGCTATGGGAAAAAATGGTGCCTTTTCTGCTTAAGAAGCGTTCGTCTGGACGTTGCACCTTGGCTAAGGTTTTGACGTGACCGTCGCGGTATGTGAGGCTCCGATGTGATACTGTTTCGTCTGATTGTTCGCTGCTGCCACGTTTCAAAAAGAAACGTGTCATGGAAATGAATGGCACTTCCCCAAACATGGGTGCTGATGTTTAAGGGAAACCCCAACCAAAAAACGACACCAATGGGTGTCAGGGAAAAGAGAGGCAGACGCAGGTTGGGGGTTGGCGACCCCCGCTTGACTTGGCCGCTCAGTTTGGCTATGAAAGGGGCTATAACGCTCCCAGGAGGGTCCTAGCCTATTTTATAACCAAACTCAGCGAAAGTAGACAACAATCGGGAGTTCAATCCTCACCGCAAACCACCATGTGGTGACTTCGGATTTGCCCAAACCATACTAGCGAAAGGAATCCCCCTTAAAATGGAAAGATTGTCGACTAGAAGGAAAACCATCCTGACCAGCATTGTGTTCCAGATTGATCTGGGAAAATAACTATAATTAACAAACTGGAAATCAAGAATCGCCAAGCACCATCATCACCGGAATTATATCGTTTTATACCACGCTGGCTCTGATTTGCCCATATTCTATCCGAAGCTCACAGTTTGATAGGTGTATAATAACTGAAGTGAACGAATCTGGAGATGAGAGGTGCTCATGTGGGTATGGTTTTCACTTGGGGACCCTGTTGCCGACATCATTTATATGGGGATTCATTCCACCAACCATTTGTTCTACTTTAGATTCACAGCCTACCTCGGCTTGTGCCCCCAACCAAAACCAACAGTTTGATTCTTGTAAGACATCCCCATGGCCATCCGAGCTGTTTCGCGTGTGCGAGGCACGTAGGCCATGTAGCACCCCCACATCATCACGACGTACCCAGCCAGCGGCAAGACGACCCAAGAGTACACGATGGCCGTGCCGAAAATGCTGCGGCGAAACCCATACCTCCGCCGTAGGGCAATTTGAAGCGACAAGGCGAAAAGAGGTGCGACAAGGAGGTTTTGACCGGTTTCATCACACTTGGCCCAAGACCCTAATGGGTTTCGTTGGTGCCGGCAAAATGGACCCATGCAAGCCATGGCTTGAATCAACCAACCCTGGTTTGACTGTGTTCATGAAACTCACATCCTCAAAATTTGCCTCTAAATAATGGTTCAAAGGGAAACGGGCTCAGAATGCTGCTGCGGGCGCTGGATGAAGTTCCGCGGCACCTCAGCTCTCAGTTCCACAATCTCACAGCAACGGCAAAAGTGGACCTCTTGGATCCATACGCCTGTCAGATTGC